AAATTTTGACGAAAGTATTTGGGTCACCTTGTGTGGGATCCCTGCGCAATGGAAAAATATTCAATGACCATTTTTCGCGTGATTCAGTTTCTCGGATACAATCTTATAGTTAAGCAATCTTCACTGTTATCGTGACCTCTGCAAAGCAAAGGGAGATAAGACCACATTTTTATTCGACTTTCGACTTCGATACTACCCAAATCACGATCAGTTACATAATTATGGGTTTGTGGCTTTAGTCTTGATATTTTTTAAATGTCTTTCTATCCCTACACATTAACCATCATTAAAGTATTGATTTGTAGAAGACGTATCTAAAGTACCAGAGAGTGGTTTTGACATTTACACCTCTTTCTGTGTTTTTCCAGAGTGAGAACTATTTTAATGCAAATCTTTCTACAATGAAGATAGTTAGGCATTATTTAATATGGCGACAATATCATTAACTTACTAACTTACTCGATGAAGTCAATTTTCCTTTGTATTTAAAGGGTATGGAGAAAATATTAGACCTTAGGAATTTTTACTGCGGCTTGCCTGTAGAATCCATTGCTAAGTTCTTAGGGCCGTTGTTAAAGTTGCTGTTAAATTGGTCAGACAATGTTACCCAAATTCCATCATTATTTATGTTATCAAGGCCCTATCGAGTAGCGTGGTTTCCCATCATGCGTATATTTGAGGTTGTTGTAATAACTTTTCCTTGTGTGAAAGTGGATAATGCCCAATTTTTTGAGCACCATGGCTTACATTTACAGTACACAGTAAGTAAGATCGATAGGATGCGAAGATTGCGAAGATGAGAGTCGCCCTTAGAAAAAGGTTGAAAGATGGTGTAGGGAAAACGTGGAGAAAATAGGAGTGAGACACAAGAGGTTTAAATTATCAAAGGTAATGAATGTGTATATGAATATATGTATATGTAAATGTGTATATGAAAAAATCAGGTGGAAGTAAAATTTTGCGTAGACAATATTCGATTGTTCGGTTGGACTTTAAGCGGCCTAAATAGCATGTTATTTATTATAATGTTACGCATGAAAAGATTATACGGGGTACCTTCTTAAAACTGGACATTTTATTAAAGTATCAAATATAGCGAAATTTCTTATATCGAGGCTTAGGAGCGCCTAAAATAATTTACTAGGAACAGAAAAAATGGATTTCTGTCGCGACTATAAACGAAAACTAACCAAAGCTACGCGTATTTTACTGCCAACCTTCAAGATCATGGTGCATATAGACCCCAAACAACTTCAAGACACAGAAACTTTGACTCCAGCTTGTCTACAGAATCATTTTCAGAACATGTTACCCACTTTCCATCGTAATTTATTTTATTAAAGCCCTATCGAAATGGGTAAGATCTGTGGTGTCTACTAATCATGAGGTTGGTATAATAACTTTTCTATACATTTTTATTCTGAAATGATTTCTATAAAACGGAATATTATCCAATTTGTTGAGCACCATGAGTTACATTTGGTCCACATGTTAGTGATAATATTGGGAAAGATCTAAAAAGTTGGAAAGATGATGTGAGACACTGTATGAGGGAAGAAAATCTACCATAAGAAGTCATTATTAAGCAAAATAATAGCGTATTTCTATATGATGTGGAAATTAAATTAAACGGTTTGCGATTTCTTTATCAAAGCTGGCATTTTCCAAATTCAATCCTATGACATGATTCCAATTGTTTATTCCAATGATTTAGTTAGTTTCCTGGTTCATTTAGTTTTATTTTGACATCTTTACCACTCTGTATCTTAAACGTTAAGGCGTTTACGACATGTGTTCATGTTTATCATTCATTTTGAAATGGACCCAAAAATCGTCCCCCAATTATTGACATTTACTTAGAAAACATCCTGTATATTAGCGAGGAGGTGTCATAATTATGATTTCTAAATTGCTGAGATGACGAATTTCTTTAGCACGAGCAGAGCGCAGCGGAACGAGTGTTTGATAAACGAGAATGACTAACCAACCAAACCAAACTAACCAAAACAACACGAATACATATACCGGGGGAAATACTTCCGAAAACATCCGATTGCTCCTAACCCCGTGCGGTAATATCCTGGAAATGTCTTGCGGCTTGCAACCGTAGGAAACAAAACTGAAGTGGTAAAATGACACTTTCCGCGCGTTAGATCGGTGTATAATTCGGTATTTTAGAGAAGGGAGTAAAAAAATATTTTATTTTTAGAGTTCCTCTCGAACATTCAATAATTATCTATCTTCGCAATCTGGAAAGAGACTACCGTCCTTGAATTAAGGCCACCACCGTTCAGAAATCAATTCGAAGAACAATCTAACCTAGAAATCTTCAGTTATACCCACATAAGAACTGTACACCTCTGTAAAATCTTAATGGTTGGATTTTGGCCAATTTAAGAATAATTTGGCAACTAATTCTTATTCGGGAGTACTGAGAACCCAACTATACCAATGTCTGTCATGTTCCATTGCAAGGTTTTTGAAATATCGTTTGCGCTTCGCTGTAAAACAATATACCAACATTTAAGTGTGGCTAAAATAGTCTAGTAGGAACAGAAGAAATGTGGGTCGGAAAACCATTAAGGTGAGAACGGTGTTTCTTCATCCCATTAAATCTGAAAAGATTGAACCTACAAACCAGCAAGCAGAATAAAAAATATCAAGGAGACGATGACTACTCGGTTTGTAGAATATATATCCGGAAAGCAATTCTGATTGAGCTACAACTTTAGAACTTTAGAACTTTACACAATTTTTTAGTCGCTGGATATTGAGAAATCAAACGATAATATTATTTAGTGATGAAGCCTCATTCACCCGAAACGGTATCAACAACACCAGGAATTTGCACGACCAACTCGGGAATCCTATTTTGAAGATAGATTTTCGGTGACTATTTGGTGTGGTATTATTGATGACCGTCTGATTGGTTCATTTATAATTAAAGAAAGTATTAAGGCCAGTCGTTATTCACGTTTCATTGAAAATGATCTTTCAATATTGCTGGATGATATTCCTATTAATGTAACACAACAAATGTGAATTTAGCACGACGGCGCACCTCCTCACAACCGGCGGATTAGAAGAGGTTCAGCAGTTCTTCGGCCAACAAGGTCAGTTGACCTTAACCCCTCAGATTACTTTTTTTTAGTTAATATTCAATTGTTCATTTGGACTCTACTTGAAATAAATTTATTTATTATTTATCATAATTTATATATTATTTATTTATTTATTAGAATGTTTTGAATAGATGATCATGTTTCGAAAATGATTTCCAGAAAGACTCTCTTTTTTTCCTGCGATCACTTTAATGATTAAGTTGAGATTTAATAACCAACTGAAAACTATGATAGACATGTCTTGGACGACCCTGACGAACTAAAATTACCTTACTTTTTACAAAACTTCTGGATTCCTCCTGCGTCGGTTTTTAATGAGTCGTTTCGCCAATCATCCTGCTGCCTTCTTCAAAGCTCCGCCTCCCTCAAACAATATATAAACAGGTACAGAGTAAAATACGAGCCAGTTTCAGTCAAGCTCTGAAGGAGCCAACATGATGTTTGGCGAAACGTCAGCAAGTTTGACTCAGCAAAAACCGACGCAGGAGGAATCCAGAAGTTTTGTAGAAAGTATTACAGTAGCCTGCGGAAGTTTCTTTGAAAAATTAAAATTACCTTTGAAAATTACTAGATGTATTGGTTTTCCTTTCTTTGAAACCAGAAATCTAATTCATCAAGTTCTTCTGGAATATATTATTGGTTCCGTACATTCGTGACGTACGTTGAGTTTACTGCTTTTTTATTCGGAGCTGCCACAGCTCAGAAATCTTTATTTATATATGAGAAATATTCGATTGTTTCTAATGAAACAAATTTGGTGGATGTATTGTTTATCCTTTTTTGGTATCACACATTTAAGTTATCAAGTTTTTTTAAGAGACTTTATTGGTTCCGTACATTCGTGATATAGTTTATTGTTTTTGATTCGAAGCCACCATAGCGTAAATAATATCCGATTGTTCGGTTGGACTTTAAACGACATTAATAACATGTTTACTAGACTGTTGCGAATGAAAACAATATACCAATATTTAAACGTGGCAAAAATATTCTTGTAGGAATAGAAAAAATGGACTTCTAGAAACATCTTTTTTCTTGTGATCCCTTTAGCGATTATGGTGAGATTTTCAGACGCGGTTCCCCATTACATTAAATTTGGAAAACTTGAAAATACAAACCAGCAAACAACAACAAGAATGTTGAATAGGCGACGGCTCTACAAGATTCAATAAAAAACTTGAAGATATGACGTTGACCTAAATAGTTGTCGAAATGAGAAGCGTAAGTCTGTTAGCCAGGATTTGTTATAGTTTATGTCGATCTATATTTGACGACCAACTCCAATGACTTTTGAAAATTGGGGGATGTATTCTTTTTCCTCTTTTTTGGTATCACGAACGTAATTTATCGAGTTCTTCTGGAACTCTTTATTGGTTGCGTACATTCGTGATGTAGGAAGAGTTTGCCGCTTTTCATTCGAAGCCACCACAGTCCAGAAATCAATTTGATCATTTATATATGAGAAAATCAGAATTAAAAAAATATATGTATAGCGTAGATAATAAATATTCGATTGTTCGGTTGAACTTTGAGCGACATTAATAACATGTTGGCTAGACTATTTAGAATGAGAACAATATACCAACATTTGAGAGTGACTAGAATGTTCTAACAGGAATACCTCCAAACAACTCCAATTACTTTTGACAATCGGGAGATGAATTGTTTTTCCTTTTTTTTTTGGTTCCCTACATTCATGATATAGGAAGAGTTTACCGATTTTGATCCGAAGCTACCACAGCCCAGAAATCAATTCGAAGAACGATCTAACCTAGACCTACATCTAAAAACGAACGTGTTTCAAGTTGCGATCGATGATTCGAAGATGTTAGTGCCTGCGTCGCGATGGCCTAACGAAAAATTTTTGCGCACACTTACATAAAATTGTCGAGCCGGTCGATATACGAGTGCTACGGATATGTCGGCTGCGATCGGTCTGAGCGATCCACGACGCGTATGTGACAACTGAATTCGGATTTTATTTTTACTCGAAAATTTAGAAAATGACGCTTGCGCCGCACGATCGTCCCATCGCGCATCGTGGGTCACGTCTTGGGGCTATCGTTCGTGTGGGGAACTTGGCGATAAGGAGACGCAAGGCAATTAAAAGTAAATTATGTAAAAGTCATTCTGGACGAGTCCGTTTCGCATTTAAATAGGTACTTTTTGACCTGGCCAAGCGAATGTTTATTTTTGACCGCGGACATTGTTTTCTACGTGCCGGGTACGTGCGTCTGGCAGATTACAGTTTATTGCGTTCGTGATTCGTGTGCAGACGGTACAATGAAATATTTCGATTTATTTTGTTGTTGTTGTGCGTCTCAATTTCAATAAATTTTGCAAATAAAATTACCACAACCGTTTAATTTCATAAGACTGTAGGTTTGACCTAGGTGAAAAATGTAAATAAACTCGAAAGTTGATCGACTTTTGAAAGGGTAAATGTGCTGTATCCAGCAAAAGCTTAGGCACATCAACAATTTCTTTAAAAATGTTTTTATGAAATATTATAAAGCATTACTAAAGCGAAGAAAATAAAATACGGAAAAAGTTCAACATTATATCATCATCATCCCTCGCTTCCTGCATCCACTATTGGATATGGACCTCCTCTAAGATTTTTCACCGTCTTTTGTCTTGAGCAGTATTGATACAATTTCCAGCTACTCTCTTTATATCGCCGTTCCATTTAGTTGGTGGTCAACGTCGACTGTTTGTGTCCTCTCTCGGTCGTGATTCTAATATTCTTTTTGACCATCTGTAATCGGTCATGCGTGCTACATGACCAGCACATCTCCACTTGTATATAGTGAGGGGTGTTTTTTTCCGATGCATCGAACATTAAGTTGCAATAAAACAACGATGGATTATTCGATTGACATGAATTTTATTTATTCGAAAGATAATCTTGTGGCATTACATTTTAAATATGATTTCTGGCATATGACCGCCACGGCTTTCGCGGATGTAGTCCAATTTTCGATGACTTTTTCCCACATTTGTGGCCGTATATCGGCAATAACACGGCGAATGTTGTCTTCCAAATGGTCAAGCGTTTGTGGCTTATCCGCATAGACCAATGACTTTACATAGCCCCACAGAAAGTAGTCTAGCAGTGTTAAATCACAACATCTTGGAGGCCAATTCACAGGTCCAAAACGTGAAATTAGGCGATCACCAAACGTGTCTTTCAATAAATCGATTGTGGCACGAGCTGTGTGACATGTTGCGCCGTCTTGTTGAAACCACATTTCCTGGACATCATGGTTATTCAATTCAGGAATGAAAGAGTTAGTAATCATAGCTCTATACCGATCACCATTTACTGCAACTTTCTGGCCATCACCGTTTTTGAAGTACGGACCAATGATTGCACCAGCCCATAAAGCGCACCAAACAGTCAGTTTTTCTGGATGTAACGGTGTTTCGACATACACTTGAGGATTAGCTTCGCTCCAAATGCAGCAGTTTTGTTTGTTGACGTAGCCATTCAACCAGAAGTGCGCTTCGTCGCTAAACAAAATTCGTTTATGAAAATCGGGAACAACGGCAATCTCGTTTTGGGCCCATTCGACGAATCTACGCCTTACTTGATGATCGTTTGGCTTCAATTCTTGCACGAGTTGGATTTTGTAAGCACAGAAACCAAGATCCTTCCTCAAAATCTTCCATAAAGTGGATGAACACAGATCCAATTCCTGTGCTCGATGGCGGATGGACTTATTCGGGTCTTCCTCAATGCTACGCTCTACAGCAGCAATAGCTTCTTCTGTACGCACCGTATGGCGTCTCTGGGGATGCAAGTTATCAATAAGAGTAAACGTGGTGCGAAAAAAATTCATGGTTAATCGAATTAACTGCTCTGATAGACGATTTTGTGGACGTATTCCGCACAGAACCATTATTTTCGAAATAAAATTGCACTATTTGCAAGCGTTGTTCAGGCGTGAGTCTATTCATGATGAATTGCCAAACCAAACGGAGAATAAATCACTTGACAGCTATTAAATCGGTCGCCACCTTGAACAGTAATGCCAATTTAAAGTTCTATACATCGAAAAAAAAAACATCCAATACATTGTGTCTCATTTTGGTCGCAACTGAGGGATATGTTCGTAGTTAATGAAGGGCAATTTCGCAAACCTTTGGTACTTTTTTGTGAAACGAAACGTTAACCAAATTTTCATTACTAGCTTAGTTTTTAAAATACACAGTGATTTTGAAAATTTGATGCTTTGGGACACCCCTCGCATCTCGAGTATCTTATGAAATGTCAATATAGCATTCTTAGAGAAATCCTCATTTACTTTGTTGTCTCATTCAAAATATTAAAGAATAGCTGTTAAAACCATGCATTTTGAAAACTTAGAAACATTCGGCATAATTAAATGCTTATTTATAAACACTTTAAATATGATTTTTTTACTATCATGTTTCCAAGGAGACCACAACCAAATCGTGCTACAACAATTAAGCTAAAGGATCCTACTCAAAACCTTGTCCAAGTAAATAAAGGAAAGGAGATGAAATATGAAAAATAAATTTTTAGCAAGGGTGCAAGCCAAACCACAAAATTCATGTAAAATTAGAGTACAAAAAATATTAAAGGATCATAAATTTAAGCTTTATAAGGAGAACGTAGTGCATCATTTACATCCTGGTGATCCAGATAGGTATATTGTAATTGCTTTTTGGAGCAAATTCGGTGAGACCATCACTTTGCTAGGAAGGTAATTTGGTCGGATAAAACTTTCATAAGGCCTTTTTTAGAGGACAATTTTGGATAGATACTAATGGGCCAAACAGATGGCCTGCGAGATCCCCTGATTTAAGAATTTTAGATTTTTTTGTGGCCACATCTAAAAAGTAAATTAAATGTCAGTTGTCATAATAAGATTGGTGAGCTCCGAGCAACCAGTGAAGCAGCTTTTGAAAATTTGCGAATGCAATCTTTTGTTATTCTGAAAGCTTCGGAGAAGACCGAAACTCTGTGTAGGTTATGCCTTAGAGAAAATGGTCGAATTTTTTTAGCATTATAAATTAAAAGAATTATGATCAGATTTGCGATGAATGTTAATGCTAATAATTAATAATTTTTATGTTCCTCATCATTTTAAATATTTGTTTTGATATCTAGGTTCTCGTTTTGGTTTATTTTAATAATATATAGGTCATATGTGAAATGTAACAAATAAACTGTTCTTATGTAAGTATTATAGACATTTAATAAATTATATTTTCCAGGCCTACCGCAAATACATTAATGAAAATTTTAAAAAATCATTTTTGTGAGGTCATTTATACCCATAATCCCATAGTGTTAAACATTTTTGAGAAGTTCATACCAAGCGGCATTAAATTGGCCTATAAGATATCGGGTGTTTCATTAAAAAAAAAACAAATTTTATTTTTGTTCAAAAAGACCGACTACACCACTGAAAAGTCTATATCGGATGCGATTTTTATCTTTCGCCTCCAATAATGGACCCTCAGTTGCGACCAAAATGGGACACAGTGTACAGTGTGTCTTACTTAAAAAAACTGTACGCCCTTGTAAAATCTTTGTTTGTGGTTCGATTTTGAAATTTTTTTTGTTGGATAGATTTCTGAAAAATGCACTAAAACCTCGTTTTGCTTATTACTTCAACTTGTCAAGTCATCAGCAACTGGGCCTATATAACAAAAGAGTGAAGAGAAAAGTACTATTAGGGATTTTTTAAAAATAAATTGGTAACGAATTTTTACTCAGGAATACGTAGAACCCAACTATACAAAGTTCTATAATGTTTCGATACAGGGTTTTTGAAACATCGTTTATGCCTCGTTGTAAAATCTTTGATTACGGTTTGATTGAGATTTTTCTTCGTTTGATAGATATCTCAAAAACACAATAAAATCTTGTGTTTTTTATTACATCAACCTGAAGTCATGGCAAATATCGAGAAGGCCTATTAGGGATTTCTTTTAGAATAAAGTGTTAACAAATTCTTATTCGCGAGCACCTCACTTAAGCATTACTTCTGTAGAATGTTTGTTTATTTTAATAATTGTTTTTTTTTTGTTTAAAAGGTCCTACTAAAAAGCACTGAAACTGTTTTTTTCATATAGCATCGACTAAAGTCGTGACAACAGATTCGTATTCAGGACTACCCAAAAGCAACCAGACCAATTACCAACGTTTTTAATGTTATAGAAAAATAAATATTGTAAACCTTGTAAATAACGATTATTTTGCATGTAATTTTAAGATCTCACCAATTTTAATTATAAAAATTTCAAAAATAGCGACCAAAAATACTTCAAATATTTTTTAAGGGACATTTATTTTTTAGTATCTCCTTAAAACAACAGCATTAATAAATCTACAGTATTCGAAAGGTATAATGTAGATAATAGCTGTTTCTCTGAGCAATGAAAAATTTAGTTTAATTGATTCATTCAAGCCGATAAAATTTCTTATTTGGAAATTTAAAGTAACATTTAATAAAATGCAATATTGAATGATGTGAAGTTGATAGGCCTATTGAAAACACGAAAATTCGATTTCAGACATTTAAGACTTTTTAGCAATAGTTTTAACATATTCAATATTCAGTTAAATTAATTAAATTAAATTCAGTTGGTATATGGGACAGTATGTACAGGATAGTATAACAAAAACAAGGCACCAATACCAAATGAAATTTTGGAAAAAACTTGTTAAAAACAAAATGGAGATTAAAAATTAGTTATTTCAGTTAGGTCACCATTTTTCTCTATATACTGATCATCAATGCAACTTTAATTGTTGCTAAATACTTTTCTTAGCTCTTGGCTAGTGATGCTATGGCAAGCTTCTCTAATTCACAAGCAAAGGTTTTCTTTTTTTGCGGTCGTGATAAATTAACTTCACGTTTTAATCTCACTCACAGAAAAAAATCTAGGAGCGTGATATCAGATCCATCAGGTTAAAGGACTGTTT